ACAGAGGACCTCTCTTTCTAATACACCATGTCATTAGACAAAATGCCATTGCCGAGCATATTATTCCCTGTAACAAAAAAGGATTATAATTTATGTTTCATTCTGTTAGTGAATACTGTAAAATTAGAGATCGTACCGAGTAGATGACTGAAACAACCCTAATGGGTTGGCTTAATGACCAGGCTGATAAGTTGTGGTCGAAGCCAATGGCCACAATCACACATTGAACACTTGCCATTATGCACATTATTGCTGAGCTCGAATATGGAGCCCCATATTGCTGACAGACTCTTGTCTTCATATAACAAATGAATAATAATTAATAAAATAATTACTTCATTTAATCAAATCATAGTCTATCTTTAAATACCCTATTACTAATTCATTATTACCTAAGAACACATGCAAATACTCGAGGATAAAACATTATAGTTCCAATGGTATTATACTGTACAGTTCTATCGTGTATGAGAGAGAGAATATGAAGTTCTTACTTGGATAATTAACCAAATAGCCCAAGAAATAGCACTAATAAGGAGGAGAAAAGGGCCCAAAATCAAATTAACATGGTTGATTGAATCCTTGGTTCCTGTCTTTTCAGCATATTTCCAATGAACACTTGATTTACCTATATTCAACACATCTCCATGGTAAAATGACAACATTAATGCACCACCAACACATATTAGGGTACCCAACACTTTGGCTTTTCCTCCTTTAGTCCTCAGCATCAACCTTTCTAGCCAGCCAAACATATACGTACGTATGTGAAGTCATGTACGNGCATCAACCTTTCTAGCCTGCCAAATATATACATATGTATGTGAAGTCAGGTATGAGATACTACACAAGACAGTCGATCCATAATGAATATTTTAAAACGATCTCAAAATTAAGATTGGATGATATATATTGAAAAATCCCATTTATAACAATTATTTGAAATGTTTTCCCTTGTTTGTGCCTTCGTTACACCATATTAGTACTTGTCCTATAAATACTTGTGGAAATTTGAATACGACTCATTTTATACCAAAAGTCGACATCATTTCAATTAGCACATGGCCTATATAGGGCTCGACTCCACATATTAATGAGTAGGATCCATGGATTTGGATGTAACTTATAAATCTTATCATTCTTGATCTATTCTGTTAGGATTGATACCACTTGTTGTGACATCAATCACTGAATTGAGATGTTGAAGTTATATGGCAAAATAATAAAGTATTTGATCAAGAACAA